ACATACAATGATACTAATTATGCAAGTAATGAGTCCAGTTAATAGACCAGTGATAGGTATGGCAATAGCAACTGTGTGTGTGTGTGTGTGTAATAGATTAGATACACTTAATGCATTAACTAACCACTAATGAATCCTACATCTGTTGATTGTGACATTGTTGTGGTAAGGCATAAGGAACAACCTAATGAACAGTTCACTATATGTCCTGATTCTTATAACTTACTGTCAGTACAACTACTGATTGTTTCAGTTGTTGTAATTAATTGTGTTTCTGTGATTGTTGGTAATGCTGTCATAGCCGAGCTTTTATCTTGCATTATGATATACTCAGTAGTACTCATCATAATGTTAGTGATACTTGATGTAGTAGTGGTTATACTGACTATAGTAATAATATGTATCTATACATTATATTAGGTACTGATGCTACATACCATTAACAGTGACTGATGGTCCATATCCAATAACATTAACAGGTATGATAGTAACAGTGTAGTATTCATTAATAGGAGATAGTCCAGTAATAGTAGTATTAGTATCTGTTACATTATAACTGTACACAGAACAACTATTAATACAAATTGTTGTAATGTATACATTAATAATGTAATACTCAATAGGAGGATGTAATGTAGTGTCCTAATGAAATCTACTATGATTATAGATAAAGTTTTATCTTACTTCAATGCTATTCCACCATATTGTAATACTATCAGTTGATATCTGATACCAACTAATATTAACAACTTGAGCTGGTACTATAAGAAATACCATAAGTGTGTGTGTGTGTGTGTGTGTATAGTTCTTACCATTCCATATATACTGTATTAATGATGAAGGAGGTCCTTCTCTTCCAATAGTATCAATAGGAATAATAATAAATGAATAATTAGTACCAATAATGAGATTATCAAAAGTTGCTGATGAAGTATTGACAGTGTTGTTCTCAGTAAGTGTGCTATTAGTGGTTATTGTAATAGTGTAATTACTTATACATTGTTCTGTCTCTGCCCAATTAATAACTAATGCACTGTCATTAATAGGCATTGTTGTATATGATACTGGTAATTTTGGTGGGCCTGTTAAATTACAATAATGATGATAATAATACCTGTAGCACATAACCCCTGACCTGTTACATTGATAGTTACATAAGTGAAGACAATATCTAAACCTGCACAACCAATCATAGTTCCATTCAATGATGCAGGCACTGATTCAATAGTAGCAGTACTTGTTATCATATTACCATCAACAGCAGTAACCTCAATAGAGAGACTCCCTCCTTTAGTTGGTTGAGTAATATTTATGATTTGATTTATCCCACCATCATCATTTGCCCATAATAGTATACCACCAGGAACAGTATCAGTGTCAGTTGTACAAGTAAGTACTATTCTATCACCAGGACATGGTGTAACACCAGGACTAGGAACTGTTTGACTATATTGAACTACAACTATGATATTATTTCAGGGTATGATACATTGTAATATTAGAGACTTACTAGATACTACAAGACTCAAACATTCAGTCAATACAAGACACCAGTAGACACCAGTAGTAGCCATTAGTATCAGTAAAAGAAGTAAGAACTGAAGTACTGTTATGATATATGAACAATAAGCAGCTATTCGCTTAACTCAAAGCAGTGCTGCTGTTGATCTTCTCTGTGCCAACAACAGTTACACCTACTGGACTACTAGTGTGTGGTTACTCATGCCTATCGTCTATCATAACAATTAAGCACATGGTGTGCATGCATGAGTGCATGTGCTAGTAAATGTAATATTTACTCACAAGCTGTACATTACATTAATTTATAGATATTGTTAAATTTTCCTTTATTTTATATATTGGCTTGTCCATAAGCAGTGTTAAGTTTAGTATCAATAAT